TAACACTATAATTCAAACCGAGGAAGTGTGTTTCAATTGTATTTATTTATTTATTTTTTTCAAGTACTAGATAAGTTTTTGTTATGTCGTCGATGTATCTGTTACTTTCTAAAGCTTTATAGCAGTCATTCTTGAAAAGTTGTGTGACGTATTAATTTTCAAGTTCAAAATACAGAAACCTGTTGATTTCAGACTGAAATTTAATATCTGACGTTTTAGTGATTTCATCCACTTAAAATTTAAAGAAATTAATCGAAAAAGTTGCACGCAAAAAGCAAATGAAACACAATTGTGTAAATGTCAACCAATCGCAATGCATTAAGTTAGCAGACGATAAGTTACTACAGGCCAAATGCCGGCACGCGCAAGAAGGAGAAAGATACGATGAAGGTATTAAAAACGAGAAAAAAATTTGGGGGTCGGTCAGTAAACACAGCACATTACCATATTTGTTGGTCAATAAACACAGCACATTACTATATTTGTTGGTCAATAAACACAGCACATTACCATATTTGTTGGTCAATAGACACAGCACATTACCATATTTGTTGGTCAATAGACACAGCACATTACCATATTTGTTGGTCAATAAACACTCTATTGACCAACAAATATGGTAATGTGCTAATCATACATGTACTCATCTTAATATACTCTTATATCTGTATATATAGTACCCAGGTTCATGCAAAGAATTATCGATATAGTGGAATCAAATACAAGTATGGTACTCTGGCATAGCCTGGTGATTAGAACGCTCGCCCTTTCAGTCGTGGGAGTGATATAATGTTATGGTGAATCCATTTGAAAAGTATCCCAAGAGTTAGCGATGAGTGGTGTTGACTAGCTGTCTTCCCTCTTATCTATCACTTCAAAATTAGGGACGTCTAGCAAAGACAGCTCTCGAGTAGCATTGCGCGAAATCCAACAAACAAATATGGTAATGTGCTGTGTCTATTGACCAACAAATATGGTAATGTGCTGTAGTGTGTGAATGAAGTATAATAAAAGCTAATTCTATTGTGTTCTCAGTCCGTTTTACTTCACCTAAGTTAATTTGGGTATGTAAATAACGTTATGCATTGGGCCTCTACGTCAAAGATTATATTTTCAATTTCATCTACGGTGAAAAAAGAAAATAGATTTTAACAAACATATATAAAAGTTAATGATATTACATTTTTTTATATATTATCTTCATCATTGAGTACATCTTCACCTTTTGCAATCTACCTCTGGCAAACTATTAAGCCCTCACTACCACAAACCTTTTACACACTTGTAGAATGTTTGTAAGTTTAATTGTCCATATGTCATTCGAGTATTTAGTTGATCTAATCACTATCGAATCTATATTTATTTTTATTCTTTCACTTATGGATAGTTTTGTTTGTCTACACATCCGTACTCCGTCCACACATGTATTCGTTTGTCCGTTCACTCATACACATCTGGTTATTCATCATTGTTTCATTCATCTCTTCTTCAGTGCATTCATTCATACAGCTCGAGGTTTCTCCCTGCTACCTTCTTCATCTACAGCTCACACACACACACACACATACACAATGACTAGTATAAATATTGTCATCGAGATTTTTAAATATGTCTTTAGTTGCGCTACCTGTGACAAGTTTACGATACTCCTGCATCTTGATAGGTTAATCTGAAATCTTTCGGGTTTTGTATGTGCCTCGCCTGCAATACAAAAACGTTTCGAATTGCATAAAAACTTTCGCAATTTATCGTAGGACATCTAAAACAAAAAGTCTGCTTACTAGCAAGTCACTGTATCTACCATTTGCTTCACCAGAACACTGACATATTTTTCATATAGATCCAACAAGATTAAATTCTCACAAGTTTGAACACAAACTGCTATGTTCATTACTAAAAACGTTTTAGGGCTGCCTAGTTTATTGATCTAAAGTCTTAGAGTTTCCTAGCTTATAGCTAGGATGTTTTAGGGCTGTTTCTTTCATTGCTAGAAAGTTCTAGGCTGCCTAGTTCATTGCTCTAAAGTTTTAGAGTTTCCCAATTCATAGCTAGAAAGATTTAGGGTTGTCTAATTCATTGCTAGAAAGTTTTAGCATTAGGAAATATAAAAATATAGTTTATTTACTAGTCTTGGAATTGACCCAGTCAATGTTTCGAAATTTAGTTTTCTAAGGTTTCAGATACTATATATTTTTTTTAATTGGTCACTGGAATCGCTAGAAGAAACTTCATTTCATTGCGAATCATTGTTCTCCCCAGAGATAAACTATGATTATTTAAAAATATCATCATTGGAATTTTGATTACATTGAGTGCGTGAATAAGGAAAATCTGTAAGGCAGAATATCCTGTAATTTCTTGAAATAAACACTTTTCGAAGGTGGAATTCCAGTTATAACACTGAAACAAATGAGATAACTGAAGAACAAACCTCCCAATAACGACCAATCATTATACAGAAGCCACCGTTCCAAGAGAAACCTCTATAACTACAACGTTATATAAACGTACCCTCAGCCATATTTATATTTGCTTTTTCGTTCCCAGAGGTCACTAACACGAAGACAATTCACTATCCGTCAGGCTCACAATATTCAAAGCTAGACGCAATCAGCAAGTCTTTCTTTGTACACAAAGAGTGTTTCTTGTATGAAGAATGACTGCAAGATCATTATTAAATGTGATATATATATATATATATATAATATTTCGTTAAACGGTTAAAATAAAATAGAAGAATAGTAGCATACGCTAACACTAAATTCATTTTAAATTTATACATTTTTCGCAATAAATTTAAAGTACTTAAAATGTTTTATGCGACCCCCCCACCCCAAACCCTAGTTGTGTTTTCCGTAGAGGGGAAACGGTCTTTGTTATTGCCTGTCTGTAGAACATACAATCATGTAAGTATATACACACATTGTAACCGAAATATGTTTTGTCTAACACGTTGTTACATTTTAATGATTAATCACGTATTTTGAAAAACCTATGTATATATGGAGTGTATTAATTATAAAGTAGTGTAATATTCTAGACGCAGTTTGTAGAAATAATAATCTTTTTAATACTCTTAATTATTTTAAAGAAAAACAAACAAAGGTTTTGGTGACTGTTGTATGTGCCTGTTTCTTTATAAATACACTGAAATAGTTTTCCACTCTGCCGTTCCCGTTCTTATAACACAATATGTGATGTTTTAAGTAGGTCTTTATCTAATGTAATAAAAACTATGTAAACTAATCGAGTCAACGGAGCGTTGAATTAAACTGTAGAGAGAGAGTAAGTTATATTTTCAGGATGAATATGTTCACTAGGTGAGTTGGTTTTAATAAAAGTGAACACTCTCACTGAGATGCTTCTCACGCGTTGGGTTCCAAATGACCTCCTTTTTTGTAGTGGGGGTTATGTAGAAGGTGGTAGAGAGTTGTGCCGGCATCACATATGGCTTACAAAACAGGCCACTCCAACCTGCCCACACCTGCTTCCCGTGGAAAAAGAAAAACTACGGTGGCTTATAATGACATTTTAATGCTAAGTATTTATTTTAAACATATTGCTACGGTGGAATATAATAACATTTAAACGTTGAATAGTAATTTTGAAACTTATTGGTCTCAAAAGTACAGTTTCTTTTGTAAAGATTTTCGATAATTTGGTGATTTTCTAATTAAAAAAAAAACTGGTGGTCATATGCACTACTACCAGAAAAACAAAAAGTGGGAATCTCTTCGAAAGTGTTCGTTTAGAGAAGAAAATAAATCTTTAAAAAAGAATAATTATATCACTTTTCTGTTAGGCTTCACATCTCTGTTGTTTGCTTTGAGAGGGAGGTGTGTGCTCTCAGATAGCAGTACTTTCTATGCTACTCCGCAAACAGTCATTTTTAATAATGAAACTTTACTCAAGAAAACATCGTATATGTTGTAACTCGTTCGCACAGTGTAAGCCATTTTGAGAAATAAGTAAATGCTTGGCCTAGGGAGCAATTATAGTACTTTCTCGTGTTGGTGAAAAACTAGAATCTTCAAAATGTGAAAATAACTTTTTTTTGCACGCTGTAAAAACTAACCACCAAATTGTTTAAGTGGAGACTAAACAATGAACTTGGCTAAAAGTTGTGGTTATTTATGTAAATGAATGTAACCCTCCGCTGTAGTACATGGAAATGTATACCAACTACTGGAGGGGTATAAGATTTTCCTTGAAAAAAACACACGTTCAGCTGCGTTGTTTGTTAAAGGCATATATTTTAAATGGAAACTTTCTTTAGCCAAAATTATTCAGGCCTAAAAGTAATGTGTAATTATTTTTTTACTCGTTTCTTTAAAGTATAGTTAAAAACACAGCTTTAAAGCATTATAAAGATATTGTGAATTATCACGCATTGTCTTTTATTGGATAATTTTTCTCCGAAGAATATTGCGAAATTAAATACCATATGTTTATTTCTATATACAGAATGAGCAATCCACGTACGTGCTAATCGGGAAATATATTACTTGTAGATTTCAATAATTTTGTGGTCCAGTACTTAAATTACTTTTTTATTTTAGCAAGAATTTGCTGAGAAGAGCTTAGTTTGAAACTATCTGCGTTGTTTTTAGAGTTATACACTCATCGAAACAGCGTTAGTTTTACGATGGCAGTATGAAGTACGTTTGTTAATGCTGGGACTAAGCTGTGTATTTTGTAGCGTAGAGTAACCCGTTTGAGCCACCGTAGATTAACGTCTGTAAAGAGACATCCGGTGCGACTGGACAGGTAGACCATCAACAGAAACAAAGGCGCCGCGTTGCGGCAGGATCTACACAGTTCTCGTCTCGCTAGAGAAGTACATGGGCCAGTTGTTCGGACATAACCGTAGGGACAAATAAATGCTTGCGGATCGGCGCCATCCTAAACATTTGTTTCATGCCAACATTGCGGGCTTTAACCAGAACCGTGGCATTCGACTTTGCTTCTTCGACTTCTTGTGAGGAGGTTTCACCTGAGATCGAGAACTCCACACATCCTGGACCAGATCCAGCCAGTTTTGAAGAAACCATAAGATCACATCACACATACAAGATGAGGTGACTTTATTCCCATACTCTAGCAATAGGATCCCTTATTTCACTTGGCATGATCATTGTTTGTTTTTCAAGTAGTCATTTCGACAAATACTTCCAGCGATCCGATTACGATCCGCAGTGGGACAACAAGAAAACCACGTGGTCTTTGTATAAATAAGGTTCTCTGTATTTATTCACAGTGAATCATTGTCAGTCATGAGGCCTAACGGACTAAGGTAAGTCTCACTATAACATGTACAACAGATTCAACTACTATTCTTTCAGTAATGTACAGGTAAGAATTGATTGTGTCAACTTCATGTATCCCTTTGCTTAATTCTCTTTCATATTGCCGTCTGTAAAACCGTAAATGTACAAAATGTTATTTTGGAATAAACGCTATGTTTGTATTTGTTTCAATGATAAAAATGTTATAACTTGTTTGATATAAAATGTGAATAATACTTCATTAGCGACGAAAGTACCTCTTTAGAATGTCTTTTTCGTGAATCAACCAAAGTCGAAACATAACACGTAGTGTGGGATGCTTCTGTATTCTAGTTTCGTGCGTGTGTGAAATGGATAGAATTTCTGATTTAAAAGAAATTTATATTAATGAATACATTTCAAGTGATATCAGAGTAAAATAGTCCCGTAAAGTTTGTAGGGTACCACAAAACGCGTAGTAATAATAGATAAATCAAAGTTTATGAGGTTTCCATTTACGTTCTGTGAAGTGTAATTTGTTGTTGTGCACTGCAAATATATTTATTTACTTACCCTGACCTTTATGAGTCGTATACTAAACGTCCTATTCATGGGCAAATTTTCGTTCTATTACATTTTTTGTCCATGTTGGCACTTTTTCTTGTTAAACGAAATGCAGGCTCGGCGGTAAACTGTGTAGTTTTTACTTTTATGCATTTCTGTGTTTGAAGAGCTTCATGTAGTCGTTCCGTAAATAGGCCATCACTAAACCACTATTATTATATATATATATATGTTAGACCATCACAAAACGACTATTATATATATATATATATATATGTGTGTGTGTCAGACCATCACTAAAACACTATTATTATATATATATATACGTTACATAAGTAATTAACTACCC